GAGCCAGGAGCTTCTCCTGGGTCTCCCACATAGGTGCAGGGGCCCAAGGACTTGAGCCATCTTCTACTGCTTTCCCAGGCCATAGCAGAGAGCTGGATTGGAAGAGGAGCAGCTGGGACAAGAACCTGTGCTCATATAGGATGCCGCCGCTTCAGGCCAGGGTGTTAGCTCGCTGCACCACAGCACTGGCCCCAATAAATAAATCTTTAAAAAGAAAGAAAGAAAAAGCAGTAATGTGTGTCACTCATCATTACAATGGTGGAGTTGGTAGGTGTGCCTAAATGGGTGGACATAGTCACTGCTCCAAAAAGGGTGCTAAATTTCTGTTGCACATGCCTAAAAATGCAGGGTGATGCCTAACTTAAGGGTTTGGATATAGAGTCTCTGGTCACTGAATACATCCAGGAGAACAAAGAACCCAGGATGCTTCAGCACACCTACAAAGCTCACAGTAGGATTTACCTATACATGCAGCTTCCCCCTGCCACACTGAGATGATCCTCACTGAAAAAAAAAACTGTTCCTAAACCAGAAGAGGATGCTGACATTGTGGTACAGTGGGCTAAGCCCCTGCCTTTGGCGCTAGCATGCTGTATGGTCACTGGTTCAAGTCTCAGCTGCTCCACTTGCAATCCAGCTCTCTGCTACGGCCTGGGAAAGCAGCAGTAGATGGCCCAAGTCCTTGGGCCCCTACACCTGTATGAGAGATCTGGAAGAAGCTCCTGGCTCTCGGCTTCAGACTGACTCAGCTCCAGCCATTGTGGCCATTTGGGGGAGTGAAGCAGTGGATGGAACACCTATCTTTCTCTGCCTCTGCCTTTCTATAACTCTGCCTTTCAAATAAATAAATACAACTTAAAAAACAAACAAACAAAAAACAAGAGGAAGATGTGGCACAAAAGAAAAAGATTGCAGAAGAAACTAAAACATATAACTCAAGAATAAATTCAGCATAAAATAAATGTAAATTAAAAGAAAAAAAAAGAATCACAAAATCTGACCTCAGATTTTATTATCTCCTGCAGTTCACCTAACAGCTTGGGATCTCACACTCCTTTCATGTGTGGTAGTTTTGTAAATAAAACTTCTCCTCCCTAGAATATCTGTCTTCCTTAACCTTCATTGCTTAACATTCTCCTATTTACCTTTAAAAGTCAAATTTAGGGACAGGCATTGGGGCTGTTTAGGATATGCATATCCTGTATCAGCATCCTAGGACTGAGTCTCCCCTCTGCTTCTGATCCAGCTGCCTGACAATACACCTGGGAGGCAGCAGCTGATGGACCAAGCACTTGGGTTCCTGCTACCCACTTGGGAAGACCTGGATGAAATTCTTCGCTCCTGGTTTTCTCCCGGCCTAGCCTTAGTTGTTTTGGGCATATGGGGAATGAATCAGCAGAGAGAAGATATTGCTCCTCTGTGTCACCCTGCCTTTCAAAAATATAGTATCTAGGGGCTGGCACTGTGGCGCAGCAAGTAAAGATGCCACCTGAGGCACCAGCATCCCATGAGTGTGGGTTCTAATCCCAGTTGCTCTACTTCCAATCCAGCTCTCTGCTATGGTCTGGGAAAGCAGTAGAAGATGGCCCAAGTGCTTGGGCCCCTGAACCCATGTGGGAGACCCGGAATAAGCTCCTAGCTCCTGGCTTCGGATTGGCCCAACTCTGGCCACTGCAGCCATTTGGGGGAATGAACTAGCAGATGGAAGACTTTTCTCTTTCTCTCTGCCTCTCTGTAATTCTTTTAAATAAATAAATAATCTTTATATTAAATAAATAACTGAATCTTTAAAATATATGTATGTATGTGTATATAAATAAAATCTGTGGGGCTGGCCCTTAGCGTAGCAGGTAAAGCCACTGCCTCTGACTCCAGCATCCCATATGGATATCAGTTCAAGTCCCGGCTGCTCCACTTCCAATCCAGCTCCCTGCTAATGCATCTGGGAAAGCAGTGGAAGATGACCCAAATACTTGGGCCCCTGCACCCATGTGGGAGACCTGGAAGAAGCTCCTGGCTTCTGGCTTTGGCCTGGCCCAGTCCTGGCTGTTGTGGTTACTTGGAGAGTGAACCAACGTATGGAGGACCTCTCTCTGTAATTCTGTCTTTCAAATAAAAAAAATTCAAACTTAAAAAAAAATCACTTTTAAAAATTAGTCAAAATTTAAGATTATTCTGATTTCCACAGGCAAATTCAGATTCTTCTATTCTTCCACTGTCTTTTATATATGACAGTACTTCAAAAAGTTTGTGGAAAGTCATATTAAAAGATGTTCATTTTGGTGCAAAATAATTTTGAAATCCATGTTTTTTGGTAACATATTTTCCATAAACTTTTTGATGACCCCTTTTAGATATGTACTTCAAAAAAATTTTTGCACCAAAATTAACATTTTAATTCCTTTTGCCAGACTTCTCAAGTCCCTTCATTCATCTACTTGTAGCAATAATATGAATTGTTTTGACCTTGATTAGAAAACTCCATTATATGGAAAACTTTTAGTTAGGAACCATTTCCCTTTGATCCTTATAGAACCAGTACCTAGGATTTAGCATATGATACATTGTCAAGTAATTGGTGAAGAAAAAAATATACAAATACATTAATAATAGTGAATCTTATGTTCAGAAATTCTCTGGAGTTATACTGTATGAAGATACAAATGCCTGATACTGCAGGTATTTGGGGAGTGAACCAGTGAATAAACTCTCTATAACCACTTAAATAAATAAAATAAATTTTAAAAGTGAAGAGGTTTATAGGAGAAAGCATGGATTCTGTTCTTCCCACTACAGTTTAAAAAATTAATGAAGGGAACAGATACATTCTGAAGTTGTTGCCTTCATCCCAAAGCTCTTCCAGGCAGAATGACCAAGGAAGTCTAATACAAGCTTACTTCCTTGATAATGCCCACCTTTTTAAAAAAAATTTATTTTTATTTTTATTGTTTTTTGACAGGCAGAGTGGACAGTGAGAGGGAGAGAGAGAGACAGAGAAAGGTCTTCCTTTTGCAGTTGGTTCACCCTCCAATGGCCGCCACGGCTGGCGCACCGCGGGTGCAGGGCCATGTGGGTGCAGGGCCCAAGCACTTGGGCCATCCTCCACTGCACTCCCTGGCCACAGCAGAGAGCTGGCCTGGAAGAGGGGCAACCGGGACAGAATCTGGCGCCCCGACCGGGACTAGAACCTGGTGTGCCGGCGCCGCAGGCGGAGGATTAGCCTAATGTCCACCTTTACAAAGCACCTACACCTCCTCCACCTGCTTTCTTTGGGACAAAAGAACTGAACCAAGTTAGAATAAGACTAGCTTAAATAAGCTTAAATCTAACATTAGCAACTATCCTTCTTTTATAAGTTTCTTAAGAACTAGAACCTAGTTTTTCTTCTTATCTTCAATATCCATAGACAATAGCAGCAAAGTACTCCTTAACACTGTGCAGATCTTTGCTTGCCCAGGGCTATCAATACCATCCCTTCCAAGACATATTATCTCTTTGGTATTGTTATGGAGAGCAGAGAGGGAATGAGACTTACAAATCAGGAGTCTGGGCTTCTAATTCTAACCTTTGCACTAACCCTATGACTCTGGAAAAGTCACTAACTTCACTTACATCAGTTAAATAAGGACATTATCATAGCACGTGATTTCAAGCATTAAAGTGATAAACTGTGAGAGTATATTGTTATTATCAACTTTAATTTAGATGCTACTTTATTATTTCCATTTCAAAATTTTCTATTCTATATATTCAGTCATCTCACCACCAACAAAAACTATCATTCTCTTATCAAAAAAAAAAAAAAATCTCCTAGTGTCATGGAAGCAATCAAATTGAGAGAATTCACGGGGCCAGTGCTGTGGCATAGTGAGTAAAGCTACCACCTGTGATGCCGGCATTTCATATGGATGCTGGTTCATGTCCTGGCCACTCCCTTTCCAATCCAGCTCCCAGCTAATGGCTTGGGAAAAGAAGTAGAAGATGGCCCAAGTGGCTGGGCCCCTGCCACCCAAGTGGAGATCCAGATGAAGCTTGTGGCTCTTGGCCAGCCAGGGCCACTGCAGCCATTTGGGGAGTGAACCAGTGGATAAAGATCTCTCTCTCTCTCTCTTACAAATAAATGAATAAATAAATTCACAGTAATTTTCAAATAATTTTGTAGTTACAGAATATCCTTTAAAACTCTTATACAAACTCATTAAGCAAAAGAACAGATTAAACATCTCTGCAGCCACAGAAAGAGTCAATGGTTCTATTGTCAGCAGTTTCACTGCTCTTTGCTCCCATGGCAACCCATAACTCCCACATAACTCAGACAATGCATAAGTTGATTTAGTATAATCCTTCCAGGTTATATTCACATTTAAAAATAAAATGTTTAATTCAAATGAATCTGCAAGATTTCAGAAGTCACTGAAACGTATTTCTTCAGGAAAATGTCACAATGATAAAAAAGCAAGATGCCTCCGAGTCCCCTCCTTACCATTACTTCCCCTTTCAGTACATTTCTCCAAAGGGCCTGATACCTATCTACAGTCTCCAGCCCTATCCTTGTTCAGTCCAACCTGCTTGCATAAAAGGTTGACCATTCATTTTGGACCTAAGAGAAGAATGACAAACACGTGACCACATTTTGGTCCTGGGTCTCCTCACTGACCCTAAACCCATTCCATCTCATACAAGGTTTGCCAGTTGGGCAGGTGGTATAAAGGAAAGAACTAGCCTATTAGCAAGGCTGACATTAACTCATTATTATATCTCTGTTTATATAGTCTCATAATTTGCTATTCATGCAGCCTATAATTTAAAAATATTAAGGAATGCTACTTTTAGCATACTAACTCTTCAATACGCAAACATTTCTACTTTACTTTTTAGAAATTTCAAAGAAATGCTGGTCCTGAATAGAATTAAAAAAAAAAAAAAACAACCTTGAAATATACAATTACTTCCCTAATTAACATGAGGTTTTAAATGCCTCATTTAATTTGAATACAAACCTGTATGGGTGGAATATCTGGCAGTGATGGAAGGTTTTCTGGATTGGTAACTGAGGGGATAAGCTCTATTGCTGTAACAGACGGGCTGGTAGGACCTCGGTTTGCATTTGCCATAGTTGCTGTAGTAGGGCTTGTAGGGTTGATTGTGGTGTTGTGTACCGATACAACAGGAAAGGGTCCAGCATGTCCTGGGTTTGAGTGCTGTTAAGAAAGTAGACATTATCAATTATCTCATTGGCCAAGATATCTAAACATGAACAATACCTTTACAACAGTTTTAAGAATTCTTAAGGGCTTGATACCTGTGGTTAAGAAACAAAGAAATGGGCCCTCTCAAATGTATGCAGAAAAATAGCTCAAAGTTAGTCATTTCATTTTTCTATTGTGTAGTATCTAGGGAAAAACAGACTTACCAATAGTTTTCAACCTATCAGTCTGGTGCTATGATATTATTTCAGAACAAGGAGATCTGGAAGCCTCCAAGTTTTTAAAGAGCAAGCCAAGAAATCCAGTTATGTTTATATTCCTCTTTGACCTGTAGGGGGTATTTCCTAACAAAAATATTTGTATCATGTACTTGCTAAGATAGAAAGAACAATTATCATTTACAGAAAGGAAATATGACACCAGTTCCTAACTCTAATTCTATGTGTCTACTCTTGGTAATTCAGAAATGGGGATAATGAGACTTCATTCCTGCATCACTGTGAGGACTATTAGGAGGAACATTTAAGGTAACACAGGTAGAAATCTATGGGAAACAAATTATTATACAAATGTAAATAAATCATTTGAAATATTGAAAAACTAAAAGCACATTCACAGTTATTTCTTTAGGAGCACTCCTGAAGTCTAAAGACAACGTTCTGAGATGGTGAGTCCGATTCTGTAGCTTCTGCACTCCTTGAATGGTATGCCTGGCCCCTCATAATAATTGAACTGAGGTGTACGTGGTATATGAACAGTTTAATGAAATTAATGCCTAAAACTTGAATCCCCATATATTAAAGAAAAAAGGAGAAAGGAAAGAGAAAAAAGGAAAAGATAAGAGAGGGGAAGGGAAGGAAGGGAGGGAAACAATTTTCCTGAGAATGTACATGTTCTGCAGGATCTTCTTTTCCATTTCTCTTCCCTCTACCCTTCTCCCACTTGACAAAAGAACAGCACGCCCCTGACTCATTCCTAATCTTAGTCTGAGATATTGTTCCAGCATGAAAGAAACTACAACCAAAGGTTCAACTGAAAATAATAGTGTTGAATTTGAAAAGTGACTGCCTCTAAACCCTGGGAAAGAAATTTCCAAATGGATTGTAATAATGTGATGATCAACAAAAATGAAGGCTCAAAGAACCTGTCACTGACAAAGAATTTTTAAAGTTTTGATTAGATAAACATGAATTTTTTTTGCAATTTAGAAAACATTCAAATAATTGAGGAATATAAAATAATTTTAATCCTCAAATACATATTTTTGTAAACAAATTTCCTGAGCACCCCATGAAAACAAAACAAAAAAAAACTATTAATAAAATAAATGCTGAATTCCTACTCTAACAATAAACAGGAAACAACATACAAATATACATGAGTGAAAAGAAGGTGGCTGGGGCTGTCGATGTGGCGTAGCAGGTTAAGATGCCGCCTGCAGTGCTGGCATCCCATGTGGGTGCCGGTTTGAGTCCCGGCTAGTCCACTTCCAATCCAGCTCTTTGCAATGGCCTGGGAAAGCAGAAGATGGTACAGGTCCTTGGGCCCCTACACCCACATGGGAGACCAGGAAGAAACTTCTGGCTCCTGGTTCAGATTGGCACAGCTCCGGCCCTTGTGGCCAACTAGAGAGTAAACCAGCAGATGGAAAGATGGAAGACCTTTCTCTCTCTCTGCCTGTACTCTCTCTGTGTAACTCTGACTTTCAAGTAACATAAATAAATCTTTAAAAAAAAAAAAAAAAAGTCGCTCCCCCTCTTCGTGGAGGAACGACACTAAACCCTGCGCTGTTCTTTTCGTCTGCTCGGCCCTCCCCGGGTTTGCTGCTGGTTCTTCCCGGGTTGGCTACTGTCCCTTCCACCTCCGTGGAAGGGCAGTTCCCCCTGGCCACATTCCCCACTTCCGCAGGGGAGCGGCACACCGCCGGCCGGCTCTCTCGGGGGCTGCACAGGTGTTCCCTTAGATGTTCCCCTTAGATGTTCCTGGTGCATGCCGTCTCTCTCCTCCTTTATAGTCCTCCTCCGCCAATCCTAACTCGGCTGCCCACACGCCGAGTACGCTGCTCTCCTCCAATCAGGAGCAAGTCCTACAGTTTATTGGCTGAACTGGAGGCAGCTGTGTAGAAGCTGTTTTCTTCTCTCCCAGCGCCATATTGTGGGAGAGCAGATGCATAGAATAAGTCTTAATTCCAGTAACTTAGTCTAGTCCGAGTTGCTCCCCACAAAAAAAAGGTGGCAAAGAAGCTCCAGCTATCCCAATGAAATGTATAACTAAAATATTTCATGTTTTCTAATATTCATTATTTAGGAACAATGTAATAATTGAGCCCACAGAAGAATTTGATAACAGACTTATTGTTGTTGCAAATTTAACAAAGAATTTTGTCATTGAAATAAACATTTTTCCCACAGACAATTACAATAGGTTTATTATGCCTATCATGCATAAATATATTAAGATCTAAATGAAAAGAGGAAGGAGGAGTAGAATTCTAGTCCAAGGAGAAAAGGCTATAAAATTTCAACTTTCAAAAGAGCTTGCAATGGTATTTGAGATTCTAGATAAATTATACAGGTGGGGAACCTTTCTTCTGTTAAGGGTCATTTGGATATTTGTAACATCATTCATGGGCTACACAACATGATCAACTTAAAACTTAGCTGCTACAGATTTATGGAATTTCAAGCTCCTCCTGCGGTTGCCTTGGCAGGGCCAGATGAAACGATTTCATTGGCTTTATACAACCCATAGGGAGGACATTCCCCATTCCTGGTAAAAGAATGCTATAAAGGTTTTACCTTATAATGTAAATATTTACAATAAACTTTGTAAAAGTATGACTTTTGCAACTATTTAAATTAATAATAGAAATTTTAAATGAAGGTCTTCAAATATGAAGGAGTACATATTTTTTAGATAGTATAGAAGTACTTGGGTCAAAATCCTGCAAGACCATTATTCTAGGACAGTGTTTTTCCAACTTAAGGATACACACTGACCTCACAGACTTTGTAAAAACTTACATAACTTAGTAGTTTCCTACTAGAAACTGTGATGCAGTCATTATGGCTTGGCCCATTCTGACAAAGTTCCCCATTCCACCCAAGCAGACTTGGACTTCAAAGTGGCCTTTACAGCATGTTTTGAGAAACACCACTGTTTTTTTGTTTTGTTTGGTTTGGTTTTTTTTTTTTTGTTTTGTTTTTGACAGGCAGAGTGGACAGTGAGAGAGAGAGAGAGAGAGAGAGAGAGAGAGAGAAAGGTCTTCCTTTTTACGTTGGTTCACCCCCCCAATGGCCACTGCAGCAGGCGCTTCTCCTGGTCTCCCATGTGGGTGCAGGGCCCAAGGACCTGGGCCATCCTCCACTGCACTTCCAGGCCATAGCAGAGAGCTGGTCTGGAAGAGGGGCAACTGGGACAGAATCCGGCGCCCCGACCGGGACTAGAACCCGGGGTGCTGGCGCCGCAAGTGGAGGATTAGCCTATTGAGTCGTGGCGCCTGCCCAACACCACTGTTAAAAACTAAAAGTGAACTTCATTATTTTATAACCAGAAAACCTATGTAAAACTAGCCTCATTGTATAATCTTATCTCTCATACAAATATAATCTACTCTTCAGGCCAAGATTATAAAACACATCTCTAAATATGCTTATTTTTAAGATTAAGAATATCTAAGAAATAACACTTGAAAAGCAAAAGAAAAATTATATTAGCAAGGTCTGTCACTTGCAAAGTCCTCTTCATAAATTAGGATCAAAAAGTCACATCAAAAGAACAGAAAAATTTCAAGAAACCAATGTTCAGATCTTGGCTTTATCATTATCTCTTGTAACTTCAGGTAAATCACAAAAACTTTTCCACTTCTACAAATTGAACAGTTTCAACTACATCAGGGATTCTTAACAAACAAAAATTATCAGTTTAAAGGGATCAAAAAGGTTCTTGAAATTGAATACAGAATTTCATTTGTATGTATTTTTCTAGAACAAAATGATATAGAGCATTAATTAAATTATCAAACATATTACCCCCCCACCACCAACTGATCTTAAAAAAAAATTGTGTCTTAGTTTTAAAATTGTGTGATTCTTACAAATGTAACTCTAGGCATACTTGTCTTTGGAGGTGTGGCTGCATCATGGAATACTGAGGGCCGCTGTGCCTGGGTATTCCTGGTATTCTAGCAGCATTCTGAGCCAGTCGCATTTGATGGGCTTGAAAAGCTCCACAATTCATGTTGCCTCTTTGCATTGTTTGCACACTGATCAATCTTGGAGGCTATAAAGAACAAAAATGGCAATTCACGTAACAATTTTTAAAATAAATCTTTCAATTATAAAATATTATGGTAAAAGTAAATTAGTCAAAATAGAAGAGTACAAAAGGGTATAAAGGTTAAGTCATTCTTCTTTAGCCTCAATTCGAGAGAATTGATAATTTAACTAGTATTTGTATATCACTCCCAAATTTCCCTTTATTCTCTCTCAAGTGGTGGTGTAGGTGTATGTTTAAAAGCATATCAATATCATCATCTTCCATCCTCAAATAATAGCTTTCATTGTGGTAGGGGCAGGAGAGACAAGCAAATGGGAATGATTTGAACAACTGCCTGAAAAACAGATCAGATTTTGGGCAGAAGCAATCTGGTTCTTTGGCCACAGCATACATGGAACAAAAGAGATGTGATGCATAAGGATAAGAACTTGTGTACTTATAGAGTATTAGTGAGTTAATCTTGTTTCTCATAATTAGTTATTTTTGTGTTTATTCAAGGTTCCCCCATACTATAACAGAGCAAATATTTAAACTCTGTAACCTCTGATCACTAATCCTGCCAATAATTCAAGATGTGTAATTCACCTGTGTAGGATAAAATGTGGTCTTGAGATTTTTGTAATCTCTCAGTAATACAGTGACATAATACTGACCTGTTGTTGTAACATCTGAGGGGCTGCTTGTCTAGGATGCTGTTGTGTTGTTGTTGTTGTAGTCGGTACAGGTGCTGGTGGCTGTTGCATCCTCATCTGTTGCAACTGCTGATGTTTCTGTGCATACACTTGCTGTTGCATGTGCTGAAGTCGAAGCTGTGCTAAATTAATCTGTCCGGGAGTTTTACTAATGTGGTTTGTCCCTGGAGGAACTTGCCCAACAACAACATTAGGAGTATAACCAGGAGCTGGTTTACTCTCTATTACAAGATTACCTGAAAGATTTAAAAAAGAGAAAAATTTGCAAATTACCAGCTAAATCAACTACTTTCCAGATTGATCACTATCTTTTGTTTCCTCTGCCAACTTTCAGCATCTCAAAGCTTCCAGAAGTACAGCATGGCTGGGAGCCACGTTGAAAGATAATGTTGATCAGAAATATAATATATTCAAAAGCCAAAAAATGGTTTGATTATTCAGAATAATATAATAATTGCTCCCCCCTTTTTTCAATTAATTTATGTATTTGAAAGGCAGAGATAGAGAACTTTCATTTGCTGGTTTTCCCCAAATGGTCACAACAGCCAGGCCTGGGCCAGGCAGAAGCCCAGGAATCTGGAACCTGGAACCTCATCTGTATTTCCAACGTGGATGGGCAGGGTCCAAGTACTTGGGCCATCTTCTGATGCTTTCCCAGGCACATTAACTGGATTGGAAGTGCAGCAGCTGGGACTTGGTCCGGATGTTCATACAAGATGATGGCATCACAGACAGCAGCTAAGCCTATTTACTTTTCATGTGAAAAGGCTACCTCTTTTCTAACAGCCCTCAAGAAGTGAATACCACACATGCCAGCTTCCTGCAGGCCCTCTTCCAGTGTACACATGGGCATAAACTCAGAAATTCCCCCAACCAACTGCTAATATCTATATATGAAACAGTATATAAAAACAGTATTTAAAAAATAGAGAGAAGGACCTAGAAATGGTACATATTAAAAAAAAAAACATACAAATTCAACATTGTTAAGACAGAATGACAGCAACAAAAATAAACATTATAGCTAAAGTGAGCTTCCAATGAATAACATCATTTTCCAAGTAGTTTACATTTTAAAGTTGAAAATTTTTATCTAAAATTTGCATTAGATGTTTTATCTTAATTTAGTTCCAAGTTATACTCACCTAAATTAACTACATTCTTTGCCCAGAAGGTGGGATCACAATGGAAACGTATTGCTCCATTAGCAGCAGGGACAGGATCACATCGTGCTTTCAAAATATGACGCAACTGGAAAGTGATCTTAAAGGGAAAAAGTCACATTAGTCTTAAAACTTACAGAACAAACATAAAAAAAAGCTCATGCAAAGACATCTTCAAAAAGTTCATGGAAAATATGTATTTTGAAAGAACTATAGGATTTCAACATTTTTTGCACCAAAATAAATGCACATTAACTTGTTGTAACATGTTGGACAGAATCTAGTTTGAGGCACTAAAAAAGACAGGCATTATTTTGAAAATAGCCCTATCAGAGCAACCTGAATTCTGCTAAAACTGAAACAAGAAAAGACATCAAATGTATAATTATGCCTGGGTAAAATAGGGATGAAATCATAGATGCTCCCCTAAAAGTTTATGTTGACCATGTTCCAAAAGTTGGCAGTTCAGAATGGGTAACTCCTTTTAAGCAGAAACAGGACAAGTAACCACAGAAACTACAGTCAATGCCACAGATATTTCTATTGGTTCAGCTTACAAAATTTTGATTGAAAAATCAAAGTGAAGGAAATTTTCTGTTTGATGTGTACCAGAACTGTTGCACCCTATCAGCTACAGACAAAAGCAGAGCTTTAAATTAAATTTTTTAAATAAGGGGTATCAAGATCCCAATGTGTTTCTTCTGAGAATTTTAACAGAATATGAAACATAGCTTTACTGGTACCTGGTCTTAAAAAATCTTTAAGGTGTGCTCACTTTTCTTCAGTTAATAGTATAAAAAAAGACAGTACTAATAGAAATAAATTCCCAGCAACTCAGATTTTCAGGTAAGGCTAAATGCCTGGTGTCTTCACTCACAAAAAAAGTGCCTTGAACTTGATGGAGCTTATGTTGAAAAATAGTTTTATTTTATTTTTGTTTTAATTTCACAAACTTTATGGTATTCCATTGTACAGTTCCACAGTGTCACTCATATGAAAGAGATTTTATAAATATTTAAATTGGCAATCAAATCACAGCAAATATCCATGTCTATATTTCTGCTATTTCTGGTAACAAACTGCTTTAAGAAATTAGGTGTCTTCAAACAGTGCATACTGTATGATCTCACTTACATGAAATTCTAGAAAATGACAGAGATCAGATTAGTGGTTGCCCACTGCTGGGATAAAGGAGAACAAGCAAGTTTTTAGGAATGACGGAAATTTTCTGTGTCTTGAAATAGTGGTGGTCACATTTGCAAAAATTTAAATTTATACTTTAAACAGCAGTTCATGGAATATAAATATCTTAATAAAGCCAATCAAGAAAAACAAAGATACTAAGTGTCTCACCAGTCTCTTGCTGTACAACAGTGCTGTGCTGCTGCCACTAGCAATTGCCCAATTTGTAAAGTTCATAACGTGCTTCACCTGCCGGGATAGGCCCGTGATGTCATTCTGCTGCTGTAGTAACTTCATCTGTCTTTCTTTTGTAACATTCTGAAACAGAAAAAGAGCTCTGCTGAAGACTTCTGTATGAAGAAACTCAATCCAAATTACTGCAGATTGCCACAATACCTACATTTCTTTTAAAAATGAAATGAGTGTCAGCTCATTATTATTTAATGAGCCTATTATTGATCAGAGGAAAATTCACTGATAAAAGTAGGCCTAAAATTTGTCTGCACTAAACAGGACATTCCATTTACAGAAATTAATGTTGATTGATGTCTCTTTTCTTTCAGCACATAACATGTCTGTTAAAAAAGGCCTTCCTATTAGGTTAATCCAACATACAGAGTTTATGGCATAATGAGCTGACCTTTAGAAATTTTACACAATCTAAGCTGACTACACATTTCAGGCCAAAGAAAATGTTGTGTCACTAGTGCCACCTACTGGTAAGGCAAGAGGCTGAAGTTAAAATCTTGGAAAATAAAAAAGATAAAATTTCAGAACCCTTAAGAGGAAGAATTAGAAAAACGTTTGATATGATAAAAGCTCTTAAAGAACAGAAAGGAAGGAAGCACTGGCCAGACTGGAAAAACCAAATACAGGGAAATGCTGCAAAGGAAAAATAAACTTCTTTATAAGAACTAAAAGTCGGCCGGCGCTGCGGCTCACTAGGCTAATCCTCTGCCTGCAGCGCCGGTACCCCGGGTTCTAGTCCCAGTCGGGGCAGCAGATTCTGTCCCGGTTGCTCCTCTTCCAGTCCAGCTCTCTGCTGTGGCCTGGGAAGAGAGCGGAGGATGGACCAAGTGCTTGGGCCCTGCACCTGCATGGGAGACCACTGGCTCTTGCTTGGGATCGGCGCAGCACACAGGCTGTAGCGGCCATTTTGGGGGTGAACCAACAGAAGGAAGATCTCTCTCTCACTGTCTAACTCTGCCTGTCAAAAAACAAAAAAACAAACAAAAAAACCAAAACACCAAAAAACTAGGTCTCAGAAGGAATGGATAATGTTCCATGTGCTTCGACAGCATGCCTAACAACCTATCTACTGTTTTCTTTACTTTGTTCTCCCAAAAATGATACAATATGGTTTACTGGACAATGTTTTTCCTAAAGAAACAAGCTGTTCACTTTATAATGTGAACCAATGGACCAAATTATTCAAATGAGAAGTTTGCTTTGTAACTTCACTACAATTCCCCTTTGTAAAATTTCAGAAAACCTCTTTTACAAAGTTTAAGAACCTGTTATACTAGAAAACACATTTCTCAAACGACCATCAGGTAAGGAGTAGGTATATTTACAGATAATTCATCTTTAAGAAGCATGTTTTAATTCAAAAGCTCTTGAAATGGCTTTACAAGTATTTTAGATTTATAGCTAAAATGTATTTACAATAAATTAAAATATAAAAATAGTTATTGCTAAGCGCTCTCCATTCACATGGGGAAAAAAAATCTGTTAGGGTTAAATCCAACTGACTAGATATACAACAGGGAAGAGATCCCCAACTTGAAAGAAACGGGTGAGAGAACTTTTCATCTCACAACTGTGTTTCAATAGAAAAGGAGTATCTAAAAGATAGAAATTCAGAGAAAATATTCTGCTCACATGAAATCTACTGTGGAAATTGTGAAGTAATAGAAGTTAAACAGTCAAATACACAGCTTAAATTTTTATATTTAGTGGCGTAGAAAACATAATCCCATATCATCTAAGCCTAGTTAGGAGCATTAAATTTTCAAACATAAAACAAATTTTTCAAAAATTCAACTGCTTAAGAAGATTCATTCTTGAAAGGTGCTGAGAACAAATCAACCGAGGGCCAGCAGAGATGAATCTGATTAGAAATTAATTTGGATTTCACAAACTGACTACATTCTCATTTAGAAATGCACATCTACATATTAACCTCAAAATAGGCAACACAAAGACCTAATACCAAGCACAAAATTACCAGGAAGTTTAAGGATTATAAATTTCAAAGTAAGTTACATTTTTGTTAAAACTACTAAAATATTTTGAAAATAAAGTGAAACACACAGAAGATTTAAGCAGAAGCTCAACATGCATTTACAAGAAAAAGTCAAACTGAGGTTTCATATACAGAGGGGAGGGGGAAATGTGGGCCTGCACTGTCTTCATTTACATCACATTTCAGTATTTCATTCCTAAGAAGATATCACTGCCTCCTGACACATATAGCTAAAATCAGTGTTACTGAATTGGGCTCCAAAGTTACTTAAAAAAAAAAAAAAAGTTTCCTTCCCAGTAGCAATTAAAAAAAAAAACAACCTTAGTTTGTATTTTACTTTATTTCCATACCCCCCAACCCATCTAAGAATTTTCAATAAACATTAAAACAGCTGAAGAGCAAGAGAAGCAGTTTTTGTTTTATTTTGGCTTTGAACCATACCTCTAGCTGCTGTAAGAGAGATTTTCCTTTCTTATTAATTTCATTGATAAGGGTGAAAATGGCCACTTTAATTTCCTGTTCTACTCGTTTGTTAGTCTCATTTACTTCTTTTATCCTGAATAAGAGAAATGCATCATTAGGTTATCAACTTATCCTATGTCTCTGAGTCATCAATTGTTACAGAAATTCATCCAACTGGGCACTTAACCGAGTAATTAAAACTTAAGTCAAAATGTACAACCTATGTTTCGGCACACCTGACCACTCAATTTGGTCCAAACAAGCTATGTATATAGACAAAGAATGAATTTAGTATTTAGTAATTTTAAATTAAGCACATAAAGGCCAGTTTATTAAGCTGCATGGCAACTTCCTAAAGCCACTGACAAAGTGGATGTGATACAAATGTCTGACACCAAGGATTCCTTATTAGAATCAAATTGGCACATTGGTCTGTGTAATCACAATACTTTTTACAAACAATGTGCAAAAGAAGGATATAACAACCAATACTGTCTTTTTGAAAGGGTAGGAGTTGAACTCAGAAGTATTTAGTTTCACTTATAATTTAACCACTTCAAATGTGTTCTGATACATCCATTAATTTCCTCTCAAAATGGTTTCTTACTGTATACAGTAAAAGGCATAAGATATTCTCAATTCATTTTAAAGAATAAATGTTAGATATCTGTAAAAATAGTTATGAACACTGATAGTGGTCATGAAAGTTTGGTTGCAAACATGAAGTGGCTAATAACGTTGGTACTTATAAAACAGGAAGTGGGGAATCCCACCAACATAAATACATAAAATGTCAACAATAATCATAAGAGGCAGCCTTCAACTGTTAGACATTCTACTTCTGTACAAACTATAACCCACACTTTCAGCCCTTAAACTACCTTTATTTGCCAAATTCAAATTTGAATAACTTTAAAACACTCTAACCAACAGTAGTATGTCCTCCTTTGTCTGTATATCACTACTTGTTTGGGTACTTATTTGGAAATTTTATTGAATTCTGTCCTTATTAAGCTGAATGGAAGACCCTTAAAAAAAAAAAATGTTCTAATTACTAGTGATAGTTAAGGCCTCAAAGGTAAAGTGATTGATCCAAAGATAAAAAATCATTTAGCATGCTGAAAGCAGAGAATAATTAGCCTTAGTTTCTCTTACTGGAACCTAAACAGTTTGATGTTTGAACTGTATGTTCAAATGTGAAGAAAGAAAAAAATATACAATAAAAAATAATGGAGATAGGTCACTGAATAATATGTCTAAAAGGAAGTTATCATTAGAGATTTTAACACTTATTTTTTAAGCTTTTTGGAGATGAAGTCATTAATTTCTCCAACCCTCTGCAATCTTATGTAACATGTAAATGACTTCACTATGCTTCTGTATACAGGTTCAGAAACATTTACCAAGAATGTCAAAGATATACATAAAAAATGTACACATAAGAATATGGGACCACCATATGAATCAACTAACTTCCTCTGAAAGGGGATATTTATCTATAAATTGAGAGAAGATAAAGTTATCCTCTGCAATATCAGCCATAACATATTAGTAATTTAACCTAAAACATCCAGATATTTGGGGAAAAAAAATCTATGAGCAATGTGTATACACTGTATCTACTAGTAGCCCCAGAAGAACCTTCAATTTTCTTTTTGTATCACTTACGATGAAAAATTCTACCATGTGTTAAAGTGATATTTCATTGACACATTGAACTATTTAGTATTTTTGGCATCCAACAGGGTACTTCAAATGGTTCATGGAAATAATAAAATTTTTTTATTTTTGAAATCTATGCATAGTTTTATCATAATATATGTCTTCCCTGAACCTTCTGAGTCTACAGAATGTTTTTGAGTCTATATAATAAACACATATCTTTTCATACCTCTGGGAATTCACAAGTTTTAATTCTGACAGCTCCAAGTGTTTGTCTTTGTTGTGCAAAAGTCCTAACCTTGTTAATCTGCTCTCTCATGGAACTTACTCCCATTTACAAATGTATCAAAACAGAATAATTTTTATATAATGATACTAAAGATAAAGATAGCAACAGCAGCTAATATCTATTTACTATGTGCCCGAAACTGTACTCTGTATTCATCTTATATGCAAATACTAAGGTAAGTACTGTTTTTGATGCTTGTTTTATAGATGGGGAAATCTGCTCATTACTCTTGATACTCTCTCCTGAATATTTTGTGTTCACTTAGTCTCTAAATTTTATACTTCAGTGGTCTTAATATTAATTTGTTTTTATAAGTCAAAGCCTAACAGAATAGAATCTTGCTCATTATAAAATCCAAATGTCTTTTAAGAGTACACAAACTTTGGCCAGTTAAATTTTGTGTAACTAATGAAAATAATACCAAATTCAAATTACATCATTTCCCTGTGGAAAAAGTTTTCAATCTGTACTTAAAATAGTATAGGAGGAAAACAAATTTAAACTGGACCCACTTCTCTTTAACAATTTTTATAGGAAAAGTATAGATTTAAGGCAACACATTTACCTATTTTGCACCTGAGTAGCTGCAAAATGAACATAATTCTTCTTCTCAAGAAGCTTAGCCAGTAGATTCTCAATTGCACCTTTCTGATTTTGAAAAGCTTCTTCCAAAAACTGATACCTTCAAAATAAAACAAAACTATATTTAAAACAGAAAACTTACTATTAAAAAATCAAGAATAGCAACATGCATAAATCTTGAAACCTCACTGAAATGATCAACTCCATATACTGGCCAGTCCTACCTCAATAGCAACTTAAAGTAATTTATATAAAGAGGACATATTTCATTTATATAATTTTAACCAACTCCCCCCTCCCATAGCAACTTTTAAATGGTAATTCCTGCTCTTCAGACCAGAGAAGCCATCATAAAAGGAAAAATTTACAAAAAAAAAAAAAAAATGCTTGGCTACCCTTGTATTAGGATTTTAATTCAGGATTACTTTTTTTTTTCCCCCTAAATCTAAGTACTGGGACAAGTTAAATACATTTTAAGTCACTAAATACAAGCACATTATAGGAAATACTATCAAAAGAGGAAAAACTATTAACAGTTCCAACATCAAACAGTTCACTGCTGCTACCATTATATATGGTTTCTTATTCTTTTAATTATGAAAAGTATAATCATAACATGCAAGTTATTTTATGTAACTTATTCATCTTCATAATCACATTTGAAGTAACTTTTCAGCTGTAAACAAAATTTTTCCAAAAGCTTATATCATTTAAAAATACCAATACCTGTTTTATTATAACTGTCAACATGAGTGGTATATATTAAAATTTTCTAATAGTGAAAACTTAAGATTTACTATTAATCCTAGGTTTCTTTGGTTTCTAAGAAGCTACACTAATAGCTTTCTTTCCTTTTTATAAATTATTCATTAACTAAAAAATCATTGAGGCTAGCTTTGTGGTATACCAGATTAAAGTACTGCCTGTGACACCAGCATCCCACACTGCAGTGCCAATTTGAGTCCTGGTTGCTCCACTTCCAGTCCAGCTCCCTGCTACCATGTTTGGGAAGGCAATGAAGATGGCTCAAGTGCTTGGGCCCCTGCTATCCATATAGGAGACCCAAATGGAGTTTCTGGCTTTGGCAGGGCCAGACCCAGACCCAGACTCAGCTGCTGAAACCATCTGGGGAGTGAATCAGCAGATGGAAGATCTCTCTGTGTCACTCTTTCAAAGAAATAAACTTAATTTTTTTTAGTTTCTTCTATATGCTTTTTACATGGATAAAATGATCCCTTATGGTTCACACTCTAATAATAAATAGGCACAAATTTGAAATGACCATACCATGACAAGATATTTATTTATTTATTTAATTTTATTTATTTATTTATTTTTTGACAGGCAGAGTGGACAGTGAGAGAGAGGGAGAGAGACAGAGAGAAAGGTCTTCTTTTTGCTGTTGGTTCACCCTCCGATGGCCGCCGCGGCTGGTGTGCTGTGGCCGGCGCACCGCGCTGATCTGAAGGCAGGAGCCAGGTGCTTCTCCTGGTCTCCCATGGGGTGCAGGGCCCAAGCACTTGGGCCATCCTCCACTGCACTCCCTGGCCACAGCAGAGAGCTGGCCTGGAAGAGGGGCAACCGGCACAGAATCCGGCGCCCCGACCAGAACTAGAACCCGGTGTGCCGGTGCCACAGGCAGAGGATTAGCCTAGTGAGCCAGAGTACCAGCCAGGATATTTATTTATATATTCAGCCTCAAACCAATGAAAGCTTCACAGAGAAGTCAGAATAGCATCCTGATTGCAGAAACATGTTTATTGTGTAATAAATACTTCACTATCACCAAAGAAAAACATACGATGGTCAGAATATGAGACAATAACTGATAAAATCCAGAAGCAGGTTGTGAGATAGGGTATGCCTTGCTATCCATACATTTTATTCTTGATGTAATAGGAAGCTCTTGAAGAAACCTAAAAAGAACGTAATAATCAGATTTTTTATTCTAGAGAATTCATCATACAGAAATATAAAAGACCTGAAGAAAATATAAGGGGAAAGACCAGCTTAACTCTAAGACAGTAAGTAGCTCAGATCAAGGATCAAGATATAGTATTGGTTGGTAGAGCCAAACAGATATGCTGGAAAAACTGTCAGAGAGATCAGCAGTTTTGGTGATTTGCAACATTATGGAAAGGTCCCCGGGATGGCCTGAAAATCACATGCCTATTTAAGGCAGCATCAAGGTCACTGGAAATTAAGTGTTTCAGGTACTGACACAAATCACTAAAAGACAGGAATTCAGAAGAGGAGGAAGATTTCATGATCTAAATATCTTTGCCCTCAGTGAAGTTCTCAGGCAGACAGGAGGAAATGCAATGAAAGTGCTTAAATTAAAGGAAGGTTTTTTTTGTTTTTTTTTTTGTGGTTTTTTTTGACAGGCAGAGTGGACAGTGAGAGAGAGACAGAGAGAAAGGTCTTCCTTTGCTGTTGGTTCACCCTCCAATGGCCGCTGCGGCTGGCGCGCTGCAGCCGGCGCACCGCGCTGATCCAAAGCCAGGTGTTTCTCCTGGTCTCCCATGGGGTGCAGGGCCTAAGGACCTGGGCCATCCTCCACTGCACTCCCTGGCCACAGCAGAGAGCTAGACTGGAAGAGGAGCAACCGGGACAGAATCCGGCGCCCCGACTGGGACTAGAACCCGGTGTGCCGGCGCCGCAGGCGGAGGATTAGCCTATTAAGCCGTGGTGCCAGCCAGGAAGGTTTTATAAAATTAAAAAAAAAAAAAAAAAAAAAAAGCTTGCTTAGTGGTGGGATTCAAGCAATAAAGCAAGAATGAAGTTCAGCTGAAGGTAAAGTAGAGCAATTGGGGGAAATGTATCAGGAAAACAGCAAGTAAGAATGGATTTTACTCTGAGCACTCATTTAAGGAAATGTTTTACAGTGGTAAAATGAACATTCTAAAACTTACCAGTTTAATCATTTTTAAAGAGAATATTTTTAAAACAAACTACCAATAAAGTCAAACACATTATAACTTGTATAAGATATTAAACGGCAGAAAGAAGTATGTAGGTATTTTATTTTAAAATACTTTTAAAGAGTTTCTTCTAAGAGAAAAGGGACCCAAAGACTGTTTCTTCACTGACAAGCAATATTTGATTTATCTATATACTAGGATTGCTCTGTGTCCCATAGAAAGTTTTACTATGTCAAAGTTGTGCAAATAAAGTAAAAACAAGAATTTCATGTTAAACCTTTTAAACTTCATGGCTTTATTTACATTTTTTAAGAAAGTTCTTTTTGAAATTTGATAATGTCAGCAAATAGGAAAGTATTTGGTTAAAAAAGTCAACTATTATCAAAATTCACAAACTTTTAATCTACAAAATATCATCTTATACAAATTTCTCAACTTCCAATGTTTCCAGAATATTTCTGTAAATATCATAATGAATTCATGTGAACAAGAAACAAAAATAATTTTCCTAACCATTATACAGATGGATGAAAGAAAATATGGATACTTCACTTCTCGTACATAGAGTTTGACAACCTGAATGGGATGCTAAAAATAAGAGCTTTCTTGTTAGACAATCTCAGGGGGGAAGAGAAGAGCTCTGGGGGCAGGGGTAGGGATAAATCTGGACATACAAAAGTATAGTGTCCTGAAGCCACCTGTCATTTTTAGGGCAAAAAGGAAGTACACAAAGCTAGAAGAGAAGGAAGATATCAGATGCTAAAGAGGCCTGTAAATATTGCTGAGTTAGATTAAGAAAATAAATAATGGTGAAAAACAAAAGGACAGATGGAAAATTAATAATCAGATTTGTCTCTGGTCACTTGAACAAATTTCAATTGTATGATTAGAAGAAAAACACTAGCAAGAACTTAAAAAACAAAGAGGCACTATGGAAGAAATTTTGATTACAAGCTCCTTTGAAAACCTGTGAAATAAACTTTCAAATTTATAGTTAAAATATGTCAGAAATGGGGAGAAAGAATAACAATAAACAGACTGAATATAAATGATTAATATGTCAATACTTGGAGAAATTTTAGATTTTAATCTTGTAATATAAAGCAGTGATTTTTTTTTTTTAAGATTTATTTATTTGAAAGTCAGAGTTACAGAGAGAGAGAGAGAGAGGGAGGGACAGAGAGAAAGATCTTCCATCTGCTGGTACACCCTTCAAATGGCCACAATGGTCAGGGGTGGACCAAGCCAAAGCCTGCAGCCAGGAGCTTCTTCCAGGTCTTCCACACGAATGCAGGGGCCCAAGGACTTGGGCCATCCTCTGCTGCTTTTCCAAGTGCATTAGCAGGGAGCTGGATTGGAAGTGGAACATCTGGGACTCGAACCAATGTCCATATGGGATGCTGGTATATCACAGGCAGAAGCTTTACACACTATGCCACAGTGCCGGATGCACTAGTGATTTTTAATGTGGATTTTTTGTTCATACTGAGACAATTTCAGTAGCATTTCAAAGGTCTAACTAAAAACTATGTTAGCTCAGGATTCAAGTAGGAAAGTCCAATTAAACTTTCTGTACTTTAGAATTACAAAAATTATAATAAATACACCAGCGGTTATTCAGTTTTGATTAGAATTGATAAGCATACTTATTTTTGTTATTATTTAGAAATCAATTATATTTAATTTGGTTTTTAGTTTTTTTAAAACTATGGTGCTTATGAGTAAAGGATGGGGGATGAATCATAAAAAGGCTGTTTTTAAAAGGTTGAGAATGAGGCTGGTGTTGTGGTGCAGCAGGTTAAGCTAACATCCAATATGGGCACCTGTTCTGAGTCCTAACCACTCCATTTTTAATTTTTATTTTGTTTCTGACAGCAGAGTGGACAGTGAGAGAGAGAGACAGAGAGAAGGTCTTCCCTTTGCCG